GAAAAAAACCAAAAACAAACAAAAAAAAACCACTTTGTCGTCCCACTGAACCCCTGTCAGGCCCTACTTGGCAAACAAGAAAAACAAGGAGAAGAAAAGAAGGAGGGGAGGGAGGGAGGGAGGGAGAGAAGGAAGGAAGGAAGGAAGGAAGGAAGGAAGGAAGGAAGGAAGGAAGGAAGGAAGGAAGGAAGTTATACTCTGCCCTGCCCAGAGACCTCGGGTACCTAGGCTCAGATTGCATAGCTCGTGGTTAGGACAGCCGAGGTTTGGAACAAAATCTAACAACAATCTTGAATTGGAACTCTCAAAGCATTGATTTTACTTCCTGCTTGCACACTAAGGGATGGGAGGCTCACACAGGTGGGAACTCTTGTCTGAGACTCACCCCCAAGTCTTACAGTCAGCCTTCAATTCCTCCCCTGCGAGCATCCCCTGGTGCACACCACTGTCTTCTTCATGTTCGGTGTCCTTTCCCCAGTCAAGACCACTCCCCTGCTCTGGTCAAGAGGCAGTGACTGGCTCTGTTTCTGCTGATGCCTGCGAAGGCAGCAAGGGCTTCTCTCTTTTTTCTGCTGTTCTGCTCTCAGATCAGAGCAGCAAGAGGCATCAGAATGGGTCTTGGAAATGCAGGAAGTGATTAGTGGGGAGAAGGTGACAATCAGGCGCGGTGAGGTTAGAGGTCAGATAGGCTTGACCCCAATCCCTGCCCCTGCCGCGTCCCTCTGTGTTGTCCTGGGAGCATAATCCCTTTATGCGGTCTGGAAAGTGAGAATCACTGCGCCCATCCCCCGGACAGCGAGAATCAAGGAGCCTGTTCCTCTCAGCTTTCATGTAGTGTAACAAGAAGAACACAAACGGCTCGACAGATAGCTGATATTCCACAAAGTAAGCGGAGTTTATTTCCTAGCAAGCCTGGACCCTTCTGTGGTCTTACTTTTCCCACTATGCAAAACCAGTGAGTGGCAAGTCCAAATTCGAGGCCCCGCACTGTCTGGGAGCGGCCACCACCAGGGGGCGTCTGGCTCTGGCACCGGTTTTCATGGTCTCTGAGCCACACGGGATCTGTTCTGGCCTCTATTTAAGGTGAAGGACCCTCACCAAACAGACTGAATTCGGGGACTGGTTCTGGTGCGGGAACTATTTACAGTTTGTCACGCAAGCCAGCCAGCTTTGTCTGGTCCCAAGAAGTCAGAGCTGCTCCTCAAATGTCAACCAAACCCGTGGCTTTTTAGGTTTTTGCAACAACAGATTCCAAGGTCCTTGCAGGTGGTGACAATCCTGGAGGAGGAGGTAGTGCCCGTGCCTTCTATGACCACATCTAGAACACACAGACAGCTCCTGCTGGCTTTTGTGGGTTCCTGCAAGGTTTGCATGGAGCCTCGGGGGAAGACACGTGTCTTACCAGCAGACAGACTGGCCAAAACGCTATACCCCTGCTAGCCACATGTTCTCTGGACTGGGAAGATGGCCACTGGGCACTGTGATAATGAGATCAGGAGAGGGACAGCCCATAAACATAGGAGCGAGTGAAGAAGACCGACGAGGAAAGTGCAGAGGCCCCACGTATGTCCTCCAGGACAGGAGTTTGACCAGGGTCCTATCCTCTAACACATCCTTTCCTGGCTCTCTTACAGGGAACAGGGCAAGCAGGAGTCATTTGCGGCACACGATTTTGTTTCATTTTGTTTTGTAGTGTGTGGGGGGGATGGGTACAAGTAGAAGTGTACAGGGGTGGGTTGTGGGTGTGCAGGTGTGTGTGAGGGCTTGTGTATATGAGAGTGTATGGGCATGTGCACACCTCAAATGTTGTTCCTCAAACCCCATCCATCCATCCATCACTCAGTGAGCCAGGCTCCCTCACTGAGGCCTGGGACTCACAGGCCGAATTGACTGGCCAGCTGGCTCCAGGGGTCCACCCGTCTCCACAGCGGTTAGGCTGGGATCATATTACTGTGCCGCTCCATGGCTGCCCTTCTCCGTGAGGCTGTGGTCAGCCTGGGTCCCTTACACCATGCGTTGAGTACTTTACCAACTGATCTATCTATTTGTGAGGGACATCTCACTATGTAACCTGGTCTTGAAAACTGTGATCCTCCTGCCTCAGCATCCCAAATGTGTCCTTATGCTCAACTTGTATATATGATATGCTCTTAGGGGAACGAGGAAAAGGGGTCTATAAAGATCTCATAGGTGAAGAAGGAGGCCCAGGCAACCTTTAATTATTTATCTTTTTAAGATGAGGTCACAGAGATTGGGAAGAAGCAGGTTATGGTGTAGGGATGTATATCCCTTACCTAGGACTGACTGTATTCCAGTTCCTTCCTCAAAAGGAGCCTCGATGGGTGTCACTTTGGGCTGACAAGAAGGTTCAGCAGAATTTGAGTTCCATCCCCACAACCCACTGCAGAAGGAAGGAACAACCCCTGAAAGTTGTCCTGTAACCTGCACACAAGTACCATGGTGCACACATGTGCACACACGCGTGTGCACGCACACACATATACACAACAAAATCAATATGGTACTACTATGAAGTGTGTAAAGCATATAGCTAATGATCTGACACATAAAGATGTCTGTGGGAGCTAGGCATGATGGCGCACTCGGAAGGCAGAGGCAGATGGATCTCTGATGATTCAAGGCCAGCTTGGTCTACCCAGTGAATTCCAGGACATCCAGGACCACACAGAGAGATCTGTTCCCAAACAAAACTGATGTGTGAGGCTGGCTGCCCAACCAAGCAAGACTGACAGCCTGAGTTTGACCCCTAGAACTCTCATAAAGGTTGAAGGAGAGGACCGACTACCCAAAGTTGTCCTTGTATCTCCACAAGCTGCGACACATACAACACACACAATTAAAATCAATATAATTTTTAAAAAGAGCTTTCTGCAAAGATGATTATTGTTACTGTCCTTGTTGCTATTGTTATATCTAACAATATAAGCTTCCTCCTGGCTCCTATATTGATTAAATTGATCAGCCCCACATTACACACCTGCTCAAAACTCCTCAGAGTGAACCAGAAGTAAAGCCACCTCACTGACGGTCACCTGGATGCGCCACCTTTACACAGACTGTCTGTGGCCGTGCATATGATTCATGCCAGGTCTCTTCTCCGTTAGTTTCGAACTGACCCCAGCTTCCCCGGGCAGACCAGCAGATGGGGACCACAGACACCAGCATCCAGACGCACAACTAGTCACTGCAAGCCTGGAGCAGTGGAGGGACCCAGGGAGCACAGTGGGGTAGAAGAGGGGGGGTCTCAGGTAAGGGCCATACTGGAGGGAGAGGTGCAGAGGGACTAATTCCAGCAAGAGGAGTCAAGAATGACTCTAGGAGGTGACCGTGATGCGAGAGGGGCTTTCCAGGCAGGAGAGGAAGAAGAGACAGTGTGAGCACGGCCTGCCGAGACCAGAATCCATGCAGTCTACAACACGTTGAACCTTGGGGCTGCTTCTTCCTCCTCTCCCTTTGGGCCCTGTGAGGCTGAAGGGCAGCCCCAGAAGATGGGTGTGGGATCCCCATCAGCCCCTATGCAGGAAGTGTTTTATAGCAGAGGTCACTCTCCTTCCAGGGCCACCAGGCTGTAATGAGTCCTGCATGCCTCCCCATCCACCCAGTGGTACTGCTCAGCCTTCCTGACTGACACCCTTTCTCTGGATCTGTAGCCTTGGCTTCCTTATGTCCCCTCCCTCTCATTCCCCAGTCCCCTCCCCAAAGATAGGGTACATATGCCACCAGGACCACTTCCCATCCCACCCCCCCCCAAGACCAAGGAAACCGGGTGGGGGGGGGGGGGAGAGAGAGAGAGAGAGAGAGAGAGAGAGAGAGCTGGGTTCCAGAGAAAGCAAAAGGGTCTAATTAATGGGCCAATTAATGGGATATGAGATATCCAGGGCTCAGGTTAGACTACAGCTTAAATACCCACAACACTTTAGACCCCAGTGTTTAATGGGGAAAGAGAAGAATTGGGGTATTCCCATGGCCTTTTCACCAGAAAAGCAGTTAGTGATAGACATCGAGCCTGCGTTCGACAACATGGGAAATTCCAGTTGTTGCTGAGAGAAAGCAGACCTCCAGAGTCTAGTTGCTCCCCCTGTTCAAGGAACGAGGAAGTGACTTATCTACCTCCTCACTCACTGCCTCTCAAAGGTCTCTTCCTCCAGGGTCCCATCCTAGTCCCCATCCTCCTGTCCTCCATGGCCTTGGGACTAACACAGGGCTGCTCAGGGGAACTCCCTGAGAGTGACATCTCGCCTTCTCCCTGCCACTCTTCTGGCTCGCCCTCAACTGCCCTCTCCAACCTGATCTGTTCTGGCCCCTGTTCAGAATC